CAAACAGAAGGGACTCCAGACCATACATGGCAGCAATACTCCATAGAGTTGAAACGTGAAACGTGGTCTGAAGGACACCCGAGTCGATCGATTGGGCTTCGGATCACTGACTCTAAGCAACTACTTTCAGAGACCTAGCAGTTTGATAACTGAGAAGACCCTTCCAGTGATTCCATAGCTAGAGAGCTCGTGCACGAACCCTCTATTCCACAACTTCTCAAAGACCTTTGAAATATCTGATAAGATCTGCCTTGAAATGCATTGTCTAGTGCCACACTGTTTCTTTGAATAATGACACTATATCAGCAGTGGACCTAGACAATCGAGATCCGTACTGCTTGACGCTCAAGAGGCTGTCCTTATTGAAATGATCGCCATCTTTCTTGATTATAGCTTCAAAATGTTTGGTAATTAGACTGAGAAGGCTGATGGGTCTATATTACGATGGAGATGAGCGCCCACCGTATTGAAGACAGTACATACACTTGGCACTTAGCGGTAAAATAGCTTTGCTGTGATAGGAGATAACTCGGGCTTAATATGCTTAGGGATAGTCACTGGGATTTTATCCAGGCCGGTAGCCTTATTTAAAGAGAATGAGGTATCCACTTGTTTCGCTGTTGGAAACTGATTACGTATATTTCAAAAGTAAGAAATATAAACGTGTTTTGTTATTATAACGTTTTTTTTTTTTGTCTGCTTTCGGCAAAGTTTAACTTATCACCATGTAGCGAAAAAAAAAAACATCGTGTCAAAAGGACGTTTTTCTCTTTGACACCGCTATTAGCGTATCGATTTAGTAAGCATAGCTTAGATGCGACAGAAGTTTGCACGTATAGAGCAGCCATTGAGGATCTCACTACTCAATCAACAATATTATTGGTCCTTAGCTGGCATCTCGGCTTCAGTTACTTTCCCGCCGTCTTACACTTGCTTCTCTATAAATACTTTCGGGGTACTTTTTCGGATGAGTTCTTCGCTAAGGTACATTATTTTGTTTAGTTTCTTGTAAATAGTTTTCGTACATTTTTGTAAATATTCATTGGGGTTAGATTTTTAAATTTGTTCTTTTATTCCCCTCCCCCACAAACAATGAATTGTAAGTATGGGAACTAGTTAGGACTTTCATAGAGACAATGAGGTATTATGGTGGATGTAGCAAGAAATGTAAGTAAGAATGCGATGTTTTGGTGGAAGGAATATTGTTTGTATGTTTCGGTCAGTGTTTGTGGCTAGCTAAGTTTGACATTAAGACAGATGAAGACCCTCTTTTTCTCCACTGCCCATTTTGGCCTTGTGCCAGATTTTGTATTTTTTTTCTTCGCTAAGATACCTAGATTGTATGAATTTAAGCGCAGTATTTGATTAGTAGCTATGTTTTCTTCTTTTTTTAAAAAAAAAGGCCTTCCACCCCAAGCAAAGCGGGAAGTCACTAGCATGCAAGGGGTTACAGAGAGTTGGAGCTAGAGCAAATAGGAATGATAGAGGAAAGGATGAAGAGAAGGATAGGGGATAGATCAGGGCACCTGGTGACGTCGATTGACATTACATTTGAATAGTTGGAGATTATAGCTATCAGGGAAACAAGAAATTGGGAGGGAGTTCCACAGGCGAGAAGTGCGAGGCATGAAGCTATTGGAGTAGAAGAGACGGCTACATTTAACAGTTTCGATGTGTGAAAGTTTGAGAGCGAGATGCCAGCCTAATTGAACGCTTAAATTCATGAAGTCTGGGAACCAGCGAAAGCAGCTCATCGAAACAGTTACCGTGAAAGTATTTGTAAAAAAGACTGAGGCAGGCGACGTCACGTACTGCAGACGAGATGCCAGATCAGGGCCAATTACATTGCATATCCGTCTTTGAATTTTATCTCAGCTATTTACAGCTGACGAGATGTAACCGTAAGTTCTATGTTAACAGTTTCTTTTCTTGCACTTCTCGCATGTGGAACTGACTTCCGACTCCATGCTTTTCAGCCAGCTTTGATCTTCATAAATTTAAATTCAATGTCATTATCTACTGTCTTCCTTATTATTCTTCTATTGCTCTCTCTCTCTCTCTCTCTCTCTCTCTCTCTCTTTCCTTAATAATGTTTCTGTTATCTCTTTCTCCTTGTGCCTTAGTGGCTTTATTGCCTTGCAAGGGGTGAATTTGATTAAAAAATACTATCAATCGAGGCAAGTCTGATGACCACGGAACAATATTGACGGGCCCCAACTATTTCAGTATACTCCTTCGGTAATTTTTATTCTCGAGAAAAATTTCCATAAATTCAGTTTCATATATTATGGTTTTATTACAATCCTAAAAATAGGTTTTAATCACCAGAACTGTTTCGATTGCAAGTAAGTTTGATTTCTCATTTTCAGCATGGCGTTCTATTTCCCAGCATGCTTTGCTGAGGCTTCTTTGTTCTTCTCCAACACTCACAAAGACAACGCGTGGTGGTTTATACTACAATTATGTTGAACAGACCTTAATTACAGTTTGTGTTGGAATGTGTTACGAAAAGATAAATGATTTCGCCTCTTTCTCTCCTGCTGTCGTAGCGACGGGCACAGTCTCCACTTCTGAGACTAAAAAAACTGCCCTCCTTCTCATTCCAGCCCTTCCCATAGAGCTTGGTAACTCACCTATGCAAAACACCAGCAAGCCAGCTACCAATCACAGTTCCCGTGCCTGCCCACCTCCACTCACTTTAGGGAGTGTCAAGTTGACCGACCAACTCATTACACGCCCCCCTGATCTTATGATCACAAAGCTTCTCAGTTCGAGAGATGGTTGCGTCTGTCTGGTGACTGCGTCCGCATATATACAACTTGCACGCTTGACATATTGGGATAACTACACATGCGCGAACTCGTTTGCTCCGAGGTGGCAGATTTCCAGATTCATCCCGTCTCTCGCTGTCATGATCACACACAGTGCAACTCGGGGCAGGCCTCTTCTGCCGGACACTTCCTCTGAGCGGGATGACAGGGTCCTCATCCTCGGATGAACTCTCATCCGTTGAGCTACCATCCGCCTCAGGACAGCTGGCCACGTTGACGTCCGCAGGTAGAGTACTGATGTTTGAGGTAGAACTCAGTGGATTCGACTTTAAATACACCACTCGCGCACCATCTTCAGAGTCACTTTCATCATCTGATGACGGTTTTAACCCTACAACTGGCCGCAAGTCTTTAACATGACGAGGCACGCCATCAACCCGCACTGACTGCGGGCTGATAATCTCGGTAACATGCCCCATTCTAAGCTTGTCCGTACACTTGCTGTGCGGGGTCTTAACCCACACTACGTCACCAATTCTGTATTTTGCTTGCGCGTCGCTCGGAGCCATTGCGATGTCAATGCCTCGCAGTCGTAAGTGATAGGCGTGCACCATGTTAGCCGATGCTGTTGTAGGCGAAACACCGTCTTTAGGCGTCGCATTATACCAATAGACTGCTTCGGAGATCGAACATCGCTTCCTGGCTGCAATCACTTTTATAGACCGGTGGCTCCTTTCTACTATGCCGTTTCCCGCCGGCACGTAGGCGCACCGGAACCGAAGCCGCACACCCCACTTCTTTAAGAACTGTGAGAATTGCTCTGAAGAAAACGCCGCACCATTATCCGTCAATATTTCTGCAGGTGGCCCCCGGTCGTAAAAGATAGAATCCAATTGACGTATTATGCTGGCAGTGTCCTTCCGGTGCAGTAGTCGAAGCGAGAGGGTCCACAGTCAATAATAGTCAAATAGTGCTGGCTGCCAACATGCGTAACATCTATCCCCAGCCTGTTCCAAACATGGGTAGTACTCAAGTTTCTTTTTTGCCATTGCACCGGTGCCGGGTCAATTGACTGGCACGCCTCGCACCTCTGTACTACTGTTCTAACATCCCTCTTTTTGACTGCTGGGTCAACCATCTTCGAGAAGTAGAGCGTCCGTTTAATCCCGGGATGCCCACACTGTTCATGCATGCTCATGATCCGCTCGAGGTCCATACTGAGCGCAGAAGCCGTACACGGCAGCTGCAGAGGTTCAGACTCTTTCCGAGCAGCAGCCAACCAACGTTGCGGAACGTGATTCAATGCATCTGCTCTGTCGACTGCCGATTTAACTAACACTACATCCACAGACAGGTTACACTCTTTGATAGTTTCAATCAGCTTGGTGAGCCGCCTTCGTATCAACATCTCGCTCGATGCCTTGGTGGTCAGTCGCGCTCTTCCGGTAAGTGCATTTGATATCCAACACTGAGTGCATGCTGAGTCCGTGACGATGTGTAGCACTGTTACTTGCCATTGGAGCGCCAGGTTAACCCCCTTCAGAGTGACGTCTAGTTCAGCCAGGTTTATGTGTCGTGCATCATTTTCAGGTCGTAACAAGCAGGCGAGAAAGAAACGAAATCATTTATTTTTTCGTGACACATTCCAACACAAGCTATTTCGGCATTTACTTTGTCTCCAGCAAGATGGCGGAAAGACCGTTCGACATAAAACTGATCTTGGAATTCAGTGGTGATACGAGTGGACAGTCTGTGGTTGAATGGATCGAAAAAAAATAAATGATTTCGTCTCTTTCTCTCCTGCTGTCGTAGCGACGGACACAGTCTCCACTTCTGAGACTGAAAAACTCCCCTCCTTCTCAATCCAGCCCTTTAAATAGAGCTTGGTAACTCACCTATGCAAAACACCAACAAGCCAGTTACCGATCACAGTTCCCGCGCCTGCCCACCTCCACTCACTTTGGGGGTTTCAAGTTGACCGACCAACTCATTACAGTATATGGCTCACCAACGCCATATAAAGTTTATAATTCAGAGTTTATCTTCTCCTATACTTGTTGGCAAACACGGCTAGTAGCCCAGTCTGCCTTGTTATTTAACCCGTAGCTGGAGTGAGAACAGATGGATTTATACATTTTCCAAGGGTACTTGTACGAAAGTGAAAGTAGCAATCTTGACCAGAATTCGAACTCGGCCCACCTTAATTTTCGCTCGGAGTCTATAACCTAGCATTGACGCTTCTATTCTACCTCTGGCATTCCCTTCTTCTTCTTCTTCTTCGCCTCCTCCTCCTCCTCCTTCTCCGCCTTCTCTTCCTTCTTCTTCTTCTCCTCCTCTTCTTCTTTTTCGCCTCCTCTTCCTCCTCCCCCTCCTCCTCTTCCTCCCCTCCTCCTCCTCCCTCCTCCTCCTCCTTCTTCTTCTTCGCCTCCTCCTCGTCCCCTCCTCCTCCCCCTCCTCCTTCTTCTTCTTCTTCTTCTCCGCCTCCTACTCCTCCTTATCCTTCTTCTTCTTCTCCGCCTCCTCCTCCTCCTCCTTCTTCTTCTTCTTCTTGTTTTTCTTCTTCTTCTACATACTACCTATCTTTCTTTTTCTTCTGCGTTTTCATTTCCAGCTTACGGCCGCATCACGTTGAAACCCCGGTTCCCATAGGATCACCGAATTAAAGCAACGTCAAACCGGGTCAAATGGCTCGGAATTATTAATCGGAGAGCCTTGTCCCAATTCCAGTTGATGTTCGTTATATTCACATACACGCAAATAAACTTATGAAAGAGTATGAAGCCACCTATTTTCCACCAACTAAGAGTTGTATTACTAAAACATCATTATCTCCCAAAAAATAAAATAAAATTGCGAACAAAATATTTAAATTTCGGCATTAAATAACCCATAGAGGTGTTGATATACTGCCAAACAAAATCAATCAATCAATCAAACAACGAGCATAAAACGTCCTGGATATGACGATAAACTACATCCGCGTCCTGGGTAAGACGATAAACTACATCCGACAGCAAAGGTCTCTGATCAGGTGATTTTGAAGAACGTGGAACCACCTCTTAATTACTGGTGTCCCCAGGTCCACCCTGACCCGGGGTGGTAGCACCTGTTAGGGTCCCGGATATAGGCAAATAGTTAAGCCCTCAAATGGGCTCAAAAATATGAAAATATAAAAATAGATTTTTATATTAAAAATAACAGCAATACATTATTTAACCAAAAATTACCAGCAATAAACCATAAACCAGGCTCTCAACAAAAACCTATTTTACAAAAATACAGAAAAAAATGATGAAAAAACGAATGAGTTGATCTACAAACTATTTGGGTATGACTATAAACTACATCCACGTCCTGGGTAAGACGATAAACTACATCCGACAGCAAGGCCTCTAATCAGGAGGTTTTGAGGAACGTGGAACCACTTCTTAATTGCTGGTGTTCTCAGGTCCACCCTGATCCGGCGTGGTAGCACCTGTTAGGGTCCCAGCTATCGGTAAATAGTTAACCCCTAAAATGGGGTCAAAACGTGAAAAAAAGTCTCTAATACCAGCAAAATATTTTTGTAAATATTATTACCAGCAATAAATTTTTGAAGAAAAAATTATTACCAGCAATGCATTATTACCAGCAATACTTTTTGGAAAAAATATTGCCAAAAATACTTTAAAAAAATATTACCAGCAATAAAAATCTTGTCGGCATTAAATAACCCAATGTAGTTGATATGCCGTGAAACAAACCAAACCAAACCAAACCAAAGCAAACCAAACCAAACAACTAACATGAAAGAACTCTTTCATGACATTAAACCATATAATAACATACAATTTCTTAACGAAATCAAACTGTATTCCAAAATATAACTAGAAATCTACTACATAAACCACACGCTTATCATAGTCTCTAGTAGTAAAGTCCACACAAACATGTATATGCACAAAAGCTAAGTATCATCTACCATGTAATCAATTGCGAAAGCAGAATAACATCTATCATGTGTTTATTACTTCAAAGTTCCCAAGAGAATTAAATTTCGTCATTAAATGACCCATAAGGAGTTGATATGCCGTTAAGCAAACAAATCAAATCAGACATTCTCTACGGCTTTAAATTCAACTTTTTCCTTCTCTCCGCTTGGTTGCCACCCAATGACAAAGAACCATATCTGCCCTGTTATTTAACCCATATCTAGGGAGAGAAGAGATGGATTTATACCATCGCTAAGGGTATTTGAGCGAAAGTGAATGTAATGAACTCGATTGGAACTCGATCTCGGCTCTCCGATTTCTCACTCAGAGCCGTTATCCATTGCACCACAAACACATCTTTACAACATGGTCCTCATCAGGGAAAAAAAAAAGTGACGTCGGTCTATCCCGAATCCACTTCCGATTATTACTCGGAAGCTGGCTACCGAACGGCAGCTTATCCATCCTCATCCCTAGGATAATCTTTTTACAAAGATTCCTACTTAAAAGGTTGTAATCAAAGTGACTAAAGAGCAATACATTTTTATATAAAAAATTACCTATTTATAGTAAAATTACCAATATTACATCAAGCATGAAGAAATTTTCATGACATTAATTCATATAAACTTCAAAACTACAACATAAAACACACATATCATTCCCTCTAGTAATCATGTCTACACAAACGTGTATATGCACAAAAGCTGAGTATCATCTACCATGTATTCAATTGCGAAAGCAGAATAACATCTATCGTGTGTTTATTACTTCAAAGTTCCCAAGATAATTAAATTTCGGTATTAATAAACCCATAGAGGTGTTGATATGCCGCTAAACAAAAAATAACCAAGCCAATCTTTCATTTCCTTCTTTTACGATTCTATGATTCTCCTCCCATAGAACTCCATCTCCGGCTCAACATTCTTCTCCTTGTAACCTCCCCCTCCTCCTCCTTTCTTCATCACTTTCCTCCTATTATCCTCCGCCTCCTTTACTCTTTATCTACCTCTTTCTGTCTTCCTCTTACTTTTCTTCTCCCCCCTTCCCCACCTTTCACTTCCTTTCCTTCCTCCCTCAGTAATGAACGAAAAAATATAAAAATAAGTATCGATTATAATTTTGCTGCTTTCCAGTAGACAAGATAGAATCATTTTTCATAGGTTTAACGAAATTCCCAAGCCTAAAATCGGAACATTGTTCAGTTCTTTTTATTATTATTATTATTATTATTATAGGTTTAGTTTTCTTGTATAATAAAGTGTTTTTTTATGATGCAACACCCTTTTTTAGCTTCAGGGCTCTCTCTCTCTCTCTCACACACACACACACACACACACACACACACACACACACACACACACACACACACACACACACACAAAATCACCCACCACACACTTATGCACATATATAAGAAAGAAAGAAAGAATAAGTGTAGATTAGAAAGAAAGAAATAAAGAAAGAAAGAAAGAAAGAAAGAAAGAAAGAAAGAAAGAAAGAAAGAAAGAAAATAAAGACTGTGATGTAAGAAAGTAAGGAAAATCATAGTGTCTGCTGGAAAGAAAGAAAGAAAGAAAGAAAGAAAGAAAGAAAGAAAGAAAGAAAGAAAGAAAGAAAAAAATAGGCGTAGATTAGAAAGAAAGAAAGAAAGAAAGAAAGAAAGAAAGAAAGAAAGAAAGAAAGAATAAGTGTAGATTAGAAAGAAAGAAAGAAAGAATAGGCGTAGATTAGAAAGAAAGAAAGAAAATAAAGACTGTGTGATGTAAGAAAGTAAGGAAAATCATAGTGTCTGCTGGGAAGAAACAAAGAAAGAAAGAAAGATTAAGTGAGATGGTAGATTAGAAAGAAAGTAAAACAAAAAAATACGTGAGATGGTAGATTAGAAAGAAAGAAACAAACAAACAAACAAACAAACAAACAATAAGTGTAGATTAGAAAGAAAGAAAGAAAGAAAGAAAGAAAGAAAGAAAGAAAGAAAGAAATTACTGATCGCTTTTGGAACAGGCCGTTAAACTACGACCTTCCCAACCAAACAAGTACTTCTCGTAAGCCTAATTCAGCAGCGGTTCGCCAAATTGAAATGAACAACTTAATTTCATTTCGTCTCTGACGAGAAATATTTTTATCAGTATTTTTTTTTCTGTTGATTACTGATATCTTTTCCGATATTTTGCTCTTTCGCCAGACTATTGCAATTCCGTTATCTGTTTCCGGGTCAGCTTTTCAATGTTCCGCCTTCAATGCGCGCAGTTGGCAAATGGTTTCCATGAAACAAGATTTAATTGGGCATTTCTGGCTTCCAAGCTGATTCATTTGAAGAGACATCGATCTATTTTGGTTAGCTTATCCACCTATCTATCTCAGTCTCTTTCTTTTTGCTATTTCCCCTCCACCAAATCTATCTATCTATCTATCTATCTATCTATCTATCTGTCAACTGCTGATGTGCTAATGTTTATTACTGAAAGAGTCTATCAAGCTTTAGATAAGAATGATGAAATTCGGGCTGTTGGTTTTCGTATCTCGAAGGCATTTGACAGAGTTTGGTATACTGGTGTTCTTCACAAGTTGAAAGGTATTTCTGAAGGAATTTTTGAACTGATTCAGTCTTTCTTATCAAATCGCGAAATGAAAGTTGTCTTGAATGGCCACTCTTCTAGATCTTTTTTTCAAAAATGTAGGTGTTCCTCATGGGCTCTATCCTTGGGCCCACGTTTGTTTCTAATTTTCATCAATGACATTACTGTTGTTGTCTGTTGTCGGTATCTATGCTGATGACCCAACTATTTACTTCTGTCTTAATAGTAACTCTGCTCAGTTTGATAAGGTCAAATTGGCAGCTGATCTAAAAAAAAATGACCGACAATCTGTTGTTAAATGGTGCAGGGAGTGGCTTGTTAATTTTAAAACCTCTTAAACGCAACTTCACTTTATTAATCTTCTGAGAGAACCATTTTTTATTTTTCCATCAGTATGGCTGATGCTAACCTCCAGGAGAGTGACTCGTTGCACCTTCTCGGATTAACGTTTTCAGTCGACATGAAGCGGAAAGAGTATATTGAAACAATTGCTAATCTGCAGCTAAGAAAGTTGGTTCACAATGTAGTGCTAGACGTTTTTTTCTCAACAGAATCTATCTTACATATTTATAAGTCAAACATTCGTCTTTGCTGCCACATCTGGGCTGATGCTCATGATATATGTTTAGAAATTCTTGATAAAATCCAAAGAATAATCTGCAGTGTTATTGGCCCTGACCTGGCATCTCTGCTCTAGTCCCTTTCCTACCACCATAACATAGCTTCCATGTGCCTTTTGCATAAATAGTTTTATGGTAATTCTTCTGATGAATTTTCCTCTATACTACCTACTTTTTATGAATTTAAGCGCAGTACTAGATTGGCGGTAAGGTCTCATCACTTTATGGTTGAAATGGCTAGATGTAACCGTAAGTCCTATGCTAAGAGTTTCTTCTCGCTTGTGAAATCCTCTCCTGGCTTCTTACTTTCCAGTTAACTTTGATCATCAAAACTGTAAATGCGATGTCAATCGTTATCTTTTGTCTTCTTAATTCTTGTTCTTCTATTTTTATAATAGCTGTTTTTTCTCATATTCTCTAACACTCAGTATACCCCTTGCGTCTTAGTGGCGTTATTGC